AGAGGGGGGACGAAGGATATATATATATTTTTTTTTTTTTAGGGAAGGGGGGGGGAACTTGCGTGTAAAATAATATTAATAAGTAAAAACAAGTCACTTAATAGATTTGTGTCGGACCATAGTGGACCTTGATGAAAAAGCACTTTGAATTATATTATCAGATATTATTAAATTTACCATCACTTTTATATTTGAACTTTAGAATTAATGTTAGGATGAAATGGCACGTTGACTCATACTATCAAATATGAAATATCCTATCACTTTTATATTTAAAGTCTAGAATTAATGTTAGTTATCAATGCACTTGTATTAAGGTACCGATAATATAGAGATATAACAAATCATAAATAAACTTAAACTCAACATTATAAATGCACATTAGATACACTAGGTACTGTGTTCAAGGGGGTAATACAGTTAGACACGTAAATGAACGCTAAATAGTTCTAATAATAAAACAGGTTAAAAATATTCAAACTCTACTTTATTATTTTCATTGTATATACTGGGTTTTGTGGTTAGATAATGTAAAAAAAGGAAAGGAAAGAAAGGGGGAAAAGGAAATGGAAAAGAAAAGGAAGGAAGAAGGGGGAATACAAATAAAGGAAAATGGTATAAAAAAATACATCACTGTCCATATCTCTTCTAGAGGGTTTTCCTTAATTATGATATTTCAAAATATACTCTATTAATCAAATCTAATTTTCAAATTCATGAATCCAATATGTATATCAAAAAAGATAAGTTCGGCACTCTTCCTATTTATATAGACTAGTATAAGAATTCTGCCAGGGTGCAAACCTGTGGTATATATAAAAAAAAATATGAAAATAAAGGTGCACTCCTGGGCTCAATAACTTGTATTCTGGTTTATTGTGCAAAAAAAAAAGAACAATAAACGTTTCGACCTATTCAGGTCTTTCTCAAGATCAACTGTGCATACATATTAACAGTGTATATATAGGTTTTATGGGTAATATAACTTACCAATGTATGTGAAGTAAACTCTCCAGCGAGATTGAGAACCCGGAAGTGTGAGGAAAACGCGAGTAGCACGATTATGTGATGTTGCCATGGAAACCCAATAGGACGCCTGGTAACATTCAAAGGTAAACAATGTAGCTCGGTGCAAGTGATTTGATCTGCCGGAATGGAGGAGAGTAACTGAAGATAGGAAATAGGAAGCATGTGATGATAAATAAAACAAGAATACTATGTGGTCATCATGCAAAGTGTTAGTGACTTGTGTGAAAATAAAATAAATAAAGTGGAAAAAAATATATATATATATTGTATGTAAGCTTCCTAATGTCCAGAACGATAATAAGTAAATAAGTAATGATGTCCCCATTGTGCTCAGAACTGGCAAAATAAATATTAAACAGATATAATACATGCAGAGCATACAATCTATACAATTTATACAGTTTATAATATGAACAATATGTGAAGCACAAAGGGTAGTAAACAAAAAACAATTAATTCATCAATTAACCAATGATCAGAGCTGGGGATTAGATAACTCCTATTTAAGAAACTAGATATAAGATTTTTTTTTATTTTTTTTTTATAATTGACAATTTTTTATTTTCATGTTTGCATAAAAGTAAATGTAAAAGTAAACGTCTGGGTACAGAAAAAAAAGAGGGGGGTTACATAGCTTTCATTGTACACGACAACATGTCAAGTTTGATTGGCATCTATACATCTTTTGTACTAGAATTGTTTGCTGGTGATGACCTATAATTGACTGCATGGTCTTATTAATGTAGTTTGGTCCCTAAGTGGTGCTGGGGGTACCATGCCTGCTGTGGAAGAACATAATACACATTAACGGAAACTATGTACATGAATCTGGTTACACCTATGTATGCTTCTCCTTGTGTCAAGGTTCTCTGTTGTGTTTGGTTTGATCTAGGCTTAACAGTTGGGTCTGGTGCGCTTAAGCTTTGTGTCCCTTTCTCAGGGTTACTATCTGTGTTTGCTTTTGTCATTGTTCCTACTCCACCTTTAGTTAGTTTTAGTTGTTTTGCTTGTTATGGTGGGTCATACGATGTGTTTCTGTTTGTTTTGTGGGTTTTTTCTTCGTATTAGAGCCACATTTTGTATGATTCTCTGTTTGTGTGGTCCGCCTGCCCTAGTGTTCCCGCAAATCTTTCATATGACACATTAGTAGATGTTAGGTCGACTATCTCTGTTTTGGTGGGAATCGCTGGGGACTTCCATTGTCTTGCTATTAATGTCATTGCCGCTATCGTGATGAGATAGATTAGCATTACCAGATATGTAATGTGTCTCCTTTTGGCTCTAGTCATCTCCAGCACTTGGCATCAGTGTTGTTGTACATTTTATTCAATTTGCTAGGGGTGAGGTGCCACATGTACACTAATTTTCTGGAAATTTCTAGATGAGAGGCGCACCGTGTTGTGCCTTTGTGTGCTAGGAAGGCTCTTCTCCACTCCTGGGGTGTCAATTCCCTCCCTATGTCTTTGTGCCATTCTTTTTGAAATCCCCACAGGTGTGTTTGGGAACCCCCAATGAGTATATTATAGCAGAGTGATAGAGTTTTGTCTTGCTGTCTCCTGTCAAAGCATTTATTTTCAAAGTGAGTTAGTTTTGGTTCCCCGTTCGCTGCCTTTTTGTGTGTGCCTTCAGTTCGTAATGTATGGTGTAGTTGCATGTATGAGAATTGGGCCCTGTTTGGTACTTTATGCTGTGCTTGTAGTTCTTTGAAGCTCTTTAGGGAACCTTCCTGAGTCAGTTGGTATAGGTGGGTTATGTTGTGTTCTGCCCATATTTTGTAGTTGAACGAAGGGTTTAGAGCGTGCAGTGTTTTTAGGGGGGTTGCGGGGGACCACTTATATCTCAAGCATACCCTGTGTCTGTTTTTATCCCAGAGAGATAACATTAGTTTGGTGGTCGGCACAGGGGCGTACCTAGAGCATTTGGCACCCAGGGCGGACCCAGAGTGTGGCACCCCCCCCCCGCCCCCCATAATAAAAATTTAAGAAAACACCCACAATTTTTTCAATGTTTTCAATAATATTTATTTCACAAATTTGTAAACTGTATATCAACTTGAAAAATAAATTAACTTAGAAATAAATAAAATTTAAATAATTAACATTTACTTAACAGTTAATACGCTTTCTATAAACAAAAAAAACACACAGATCCAAAGTGACCACTCAGTCTATTCGGCAGAGGTAATGTGCAATGATTCACATCCGCTGCCTTCGAGCCTTCATTTCTGCAAATTTAGCAATTACTTCATCAAAGCCAATCTTCCTTGCATATTCATGCTCAATTGAAAGTATAGCCAGATTTGTCAACCTTGTCTCACTCATGGTTGAGCGAAAGAAATTTTTTTATCAATTTTAATTTGGAAAAACTTCTTTCACATGAAGCAATAGACACACAGAGAGTCAAAAAGAATCTTAAACACAGTGACAAATTTGGCAGAGATTCACAATAATCCCATTTAACAATGAACTCCAGGAACTGTAATGCCGTCTATTTCTTTGCTTCTTCAACACTGACCTTGGCAGCTTCCAAATGCCTCCGAAGACGTTCAATTTCCCTAAAGATGTCTTCATTAGAGAATTTGTCAAAAATCTCAGTCAATTTTGGAGTATAATTACAAATATCTTTCTCTGTTGCCACAACCAGAGAGCTTGGCTGAATAACAGCAAACATTGAAAGGATTTTTTCAATTGCCTGAGAACGAATTTCCAACTCGTGATGAAAACGATCAAGGCACTCAAACATAGCCCTTTTCATTTCCTCTGGCAATGTGAGACCAGCGTCCTTTGCCTTCTCTCCTGGCATTGTTTTACGGAGCTTTACTCTCCCTCTTCTTTCCATTGAAATGTCCATTTCTTTACACATAGTAGTTGCATAACAAATGGCCTTCTCCACAATTTCACTGCGCTGATGTGCTAGAAACGCTTTCAAACCTTGTAGTTTCACAATGCACTTTTCAAGAGTGAGTCCCACAGTTTGCAAATATTTCTGTGTTATATTAACTTCTTCTAGAACGTCACACCAGAAAGAAAGGTAACACAAAAAAGAAAAATCACATATGGCAGACAGCAACATCTGAGCCGATCCTCTTGTGTCCACATTTTCTTTGGGATTACATAACTTTTCAAGGGCTGAAGTCAGTTTTTCAAAATTTGCCCTCACTGGCTTCACAGCATCACAATGAGCGCTCCATCTTGTTTGGGAAAGTCTTTTCACTGTCACACCTACATTTTCCATCAGCAATTCCCAACGATGTGTAGAAACCGAAAAAAAGGAATACACTCTCTCCAATGTTCCAAAAAAGGTCACACAGGAAACAACACTTCCAAATGAGTGCACCCCACATAGGTTCAGAGAATGGTTAGCACATGGCATAAACAAAGCCTTGGGATTAATCTCTTTTATTTTTGCCTGCACACCACCATGAATCCCTGCCATAGTTGCAGCATTATCATATCCTTGACCACGGCAAAGGCTTATGTCTAGTCCATCTTCCTCCAGATGTTGCAGGATATTTTCTGTGAGCTCAGCAGCAGTCTTTTCAGCAACAGGAAAGAACCCCAAGAATGATTCCTTTACTTCAACATGGTCCCCTTCAATATGAACATATCTGATCACTTCACACATCTGATCAGTGTGGGACACATCAGGGGTGCTGTCAAAAAGAATCCCAAAGTACTTTGCTTTCTTGATATCAGCCACTATTTTGTCCTTCACATGATTTCCCAACAGACAAATTAATTTGTTCTGAATTTTTGGAGAGAAATAGGAAGTCATTCTCTTTCCAGATGCAACAGCATGTTTCAGCCTCATGAAATGTTCCTTTAAAATGGGGTCATAGTTTGAGAGCAATTCTACCAATTCAAGGAAGTTGCCTTTGTTTGCGGATGACATGGTCTCTCTATGACCACGAAAGGGAAGATTCTGGTGAGCCAGAAACAAAGTTACAAAATATCCCTCCATTTCCTTTTCTCTCATTCCACTGTTGTTTGATGGACATGATCAATGCATTTTTGTAGCTTCAATCCTGCTCTCAAGGTCTTCCATTTCTCCAAGTATGTAAGATGCTGCTCAGAAGCCTCATGATCAGACACCTTTGGGTTCAGCTTCCACCACAATTGAAACCCAGTAACAAAACTGGATGCCCCTGTTACTTTGTCATCAACAGCAAAAAGTCTGCAGCAAAAACAAAACAAACTTTGTTTTGATGGAGAGTACACCATCCACGTTCTTAGAATTTTTTCGCCATTAGGCAGAGCCTTATAGAACCATGCAGTGGTCAACTGTCGACTCTTCCCTTTTGATTTCTCTCCTTGCCTTTCAACAGGACTGAATGGCCCATCTCTATTTTGGAAAGGTTCACTTCCCCTCTTAATAAGGTCCACTCTTAAAACATCTGGAACTGGAACTGGCCAAGCAGCAACATCAGAATAAACTGACAGTCGAACAGTCTCCTCTTCTTCTTCTTCATCATCATCATCATCATCAGAGTCTTGCTGATGCAGGCTTCTGCTGGCATCGCCTTCATCTACATCACTTTCACCGCTTGAAGATAAAATGATCTTCTCCAATTCTTGCGCTTTCCCATATGAAGCGTCTTGAGAAGATACTTCAGGCATTTCACCTCTGGATTCAACAGACTGAATGTCTTCAGCGCTTTCTCCTACTGCGGTAGATGTTGAAGGTGCAACATATTTTAAAATTGATCCAGACATCGCCTCAGCTGACTTTTCTTTTGCCTTCTTAATTTTTTGTTGCTGAGACCCGCTTGGTCGATTTCGCTTCATATTGGTGTTTTCTGCAGAAAAATACTAAATTTATTTTGGCTCTAGGGTTCGCTAGTGCGATATCTGTCTTATATTTCCCATCTTGGCATACCATTTGTAAAAGTAGACAACCCAGGGTATTTAAAGGGACACTATAGTCACCCAGACCACTTCAGCTCAATGAAGTGGTCTGGGTGCCAGCATCCCCAGATTTTAACCCTCCAGATGCAAAAATCGCATCCAGCTTGCAGAACGTCCATAGGAAGGCATTGAGAAAGGCCACTCGGGAGCTGATGTCGGCGGGGGAGGAGAGTTCACCAGCGCCGAGGGAGCCCGGCACTGGATTAAGATAAATGGCTGAAGGGGTTTTAACCCCTTTAAACCCATTCAGCCACTTACCTTTCTCCAGCGTCGGGCTCCCTCGGCGCTGGTGACCTCTCCTCCCCCTGCCGATGGCAGATCCGAATGCACATGCGTGGCAAGAGCCGTGTGCGCATTAAAACTGCCCTTAGGAAAGCATTACTCAGTGCTTTCCTATGGACGTCCAGCGTCTTCTCACAGTGAGTTTTCAGTGAGAATTGCGGAAGCGCCTCTAGCGGCTGTCAGTGAGACAGCCACTAGAGGCTGGATTGACCCTCAGTGAAACATCTCTGAAACTATATTTTCAGCTGCAGGGTTAAAACTAGAGGGACCTGGCACCCAGACCACTTCATTGAGCCGATCCTTGGAAACAGCATAGGAAAAGAATTTGGGTTCAAAAGATGTAGCAGCTAGGGCAGAGGTTTTGTAGAAGGGGGCCAGGGCAGAAGTTTTGTATAAATGTGCCAGTTTTGTAGAAGGGGGAAGACCAGTGCTTTTGTAGAAAGGGGCAGGTGAGAAACTTCTAGAAAACTCCTGCTCTGCCCCTTTCTACAAAGCCCCTTGTCTCGCTCCTTCTAGAAAACCCCTGCCCTTCGGCCTTCATATAAAAATCCTGCACACTGACAACATAAATTTCATACACTCCCTTCACATAAAAACCCTGCACACCCCCTTAATTTAAAAAAAAAACAAAAACACTGCACACCCCCTTAATAAAAAACAGAAACCATGCACAACCCCCTTAATAAAAAACACTGCACACCCACCTTAATAAAACACCCTGCACACCCCCTTAATAAAAAAAAAAAACTTGCACAACCCCCTTTGATAACAAAAAACCTGCACACACCCCTTAAAATCCTGCACACCCCCTTATTAAATAACAAAAACCTGCACACCCCCTTAAAATCCTGCACACCCCCTTAACAAAAATCTGCAGTGCACATCCTCCCTTAATAAATAAAATACTGCAACCCCATTAATTAAAAAAAACCTGCACCCCCCATTAATTAAACCTACCCCCTTAAATAAACCTTCCCGCGCTGCACCCCCCTTTAGTTAATCCACACCCCCCTTTAATTAATCCACACCCCTTAATTAATCCACCCCCTTAATCCACACACCCCTTAATTAATCCACACTCCTTAATTAATCC